AGACATCCTACCTGACTATGTACCCAAGGACATAAAGGACGGTTCCAAACAACCGAAACCATCGAGGTGACATAATCTTCCCCTTGGGTAAGTTTCGTCTGCTATATATATATATTAAACTGGCGAAACCGCTGGGAGGGTTCACCACTGATGAGCCAGGCCCTCCCTTTAATTTTTCCATTGCAGTAAGGGCAGTAGAAATTGTTTTATTTAAAAAAAAGAATATTACGCGTCTAAAATAGTTTCGTAATTTGATATATAATACAGTTAAACCTGTCTATAGCGTCCCCTCTAAATAGCCCCCGATTTTAAATACGTAGTACGATGCAATTTACATTAAAAGTGACCTGTCTATAGCACCCCTTCTCTATAGCACCCTATTTGGGGGCGCTATAGACAGGTTTAACTGTATAAATATATATGAACTAGACGAATGGCCCGGGCAACGCCCGGGTTTTACCGAGAGCGTAATATTTTTAAAAACGTTTTAATTAAAATACTATTCGTTACATTATAAATTGGCGCCGTGGATGTCTCTCTTGTGAAACGTCCCGCCCCAAACTGTGTGTGTCTTGAAAATATAAATATAAAAATGTGAATTTTCATAAAGATTTCATCATGTCGATTTTTTTTTTTTTTTTGCATTTCACCTACTAAATCGATAGAGATAATTACATTTGTGTTGGAAATAGCGATCCAAAGATTGGCGTGGAGCCAATGGCGTGGGGGATCCACCAATCAACGGCTGTGGCGGCGCTGCGGTCGACGTCAACACATATCTATCCACTTGCCTTTAAAATGTTGTTACTTTAACATCTTGTTTAAGTGTACTTTGTTTAATAAATAATCCTTTTATTCCTTGATTCAATCTCAAACTTCAACAGGTTATGGGCCCAGCACGCTTCCACTGCGCCTAAAAGGATTAACCGCCAGCAGTGAGTAAGCCTTTGTTTTGCTCGAAGTTTAGGCGTCAACCGCCAACCATAACCCTAGTTTCTTTTTTTGTCGTTGGCCGATTCCAAGACAAAGAAGATGAGCGAAGATTGTCTTTCAAGGATTAAAGTTTTTAATGGTGAAACTTTTCACTATGGAAATTCAATTCAGGCTTCTTTTGGAACAACAAAAATTACTAGAATTATTGGAAGGCTTAGAAATAAAGCCGAATGTTGTTTCCTCCGACAGTAACTCTGAAAGTTCACTACAGAATTGGAAATCAAAGGACGTTAAGGCAAGGATGTTATTATCACAGGCAATCGAATTAAAGTTTCTTCAGCCCCTGATGAACTGTACTTCCGCTTCACAAATGTGGCTGAAATTACTTGCTATTCATGAACAAAATCCGAATTTACTATTGGCCTACTTTGGCAACAATTCTTCGATGCACGATTGACATCGGAAACAATAAGTGATTACATAGCAAAAATTGAAAATATTTCTGCACAATTTCACAAATGGGCGGAACCATAACGGAAGATCAAAAGGTAGCAAAAATTTTAAATACTTTGCCTTCGAGTATGCGCTACTTTGTTGCAGCGTGGGAATCGTTAGATCCGAAAGCTCAAACTCTTAACAATTTAACTGCAAGACTTTTGATTGAAGAAACAAGGAATCAACAAAGCGGTTCTTCTAAACAAGATGAGGCCTTATTACACAGGCAAGCACGAGCGAAGCCTAAAGATACACAACGTTCTTTTCAAGATGCCAAGAAGAACACTAAATGCCACTATTGTGTCACAAAATTGGACATTGGAGCCGCGAATGTAGAAAAAGATTAGCTAATGAGAAAAATAAATCCAAAAATCTTCATGATTCAAAAGGAAGTTCAAGTGATTATGGACTTATTTTGTGCGATAATCAAGTAGAGCCCAATGATACTTGGTATGCTGACAGCGGTGCAAGCTGCAGCATGACATTTCGACGAGAGTGGTTCAAGACCTACACGCCGTTCAGCAGTGATCATCCAATCTACTTGGGAGACAACTCGACACTACTTGCAGAAGGCATGGGAGACATCGAGATTCAAGCCTACGTCGACGGTGGATGGTACAATACGTACATAAGAAATGTGCTCTACTCGCCGCAACTAAAGAAAAATTTGTATAGCCTTTCTACGTCCACAAGAAGAGGATTCAACGTCATTATCAAACATGACAAGCTACAGATCTTCATGGATAATGACCTAAAAGCCGTAGGAGTGCGTCATGACGACCTCTACAGGATGCTCTTCAAGGTTACGTCATCATCACAAGGCTACATCACCAGCGAGAACAAGCTTCAGTTGTGGCACGAGAGACTTGCGCATCTTCCAGTTGCTACACTTCGAGAGATGGCGACCAAAGGATTGGTGGATGGTCTGCAGCCTCAAGATTTAGAGGGAGAATTTTTCTTCTGTGAAGGATGCCAACTTGGAAAAGCCCATAGAAGTCGTGCTATCCCTCAGATGGCAAAAACTACCAGCTAGGTGAGTTTATTTATGTGATATTTGTGGCCCAATGCAGACTCAATCATTAAGTAAATCTCTGTATTTCTGCTTATTTAAAGATTACTTTAGTGGTTATCGCCATATTTATTTTATTAAAAACAAATCAGATGTGCTAGATATATTCAAAGAATATGCTACTCTAATCTATACTCAAACTGGAAATAAGATAAAAGTTCTTAGGACTGATAATGCGCTAGAATTCAAAAGCGATAATTTGCAGATTTATGTAAAAGATTTGGGATAATTCACGAGTTCACTGCACCTTATGTGCACGAACAGATAGGACGTATAGAAAGAGACATCGTACGATTGTGGAAGCAGCCAGGTCCATGCTAAATTCACGAAATCTTCCAGGATTTTTTTGGGCTGAGGCATGTAACACAGCCACTAATATTCTAAATAGAAGTGCGACTAAGCAAACCCTGGAACGACACCTTATGAACTTTTCTTTGGCACAAAGCCTAATGTAGCTAACTATAAAATATTTGGCTGTAATGCTTATATGCATATTCCCAAAGAAAACCTTAAAAATGGGGATAATAAATCGATAAACTCTTTGTTTTTAGGTTATGAGAATACAAGCAAAAATTTTAGATTATGGGATTGGAAAACTAGAAAAATAAGAATTTCTAAAGATGTCACATTCGATGAGAAAGCCTACTGCACATTCAGATAGAGAATCTACCAAACCGAAGAAATATTTTTTCAGATTGGCGGTGGTCCGGATGAATCACCAGTTGCGACACCAAACATTCCAGTGCAGGAAATGCCGCCAGTATCCGATATCAGTTCGCATCCCATGATAACTCGCTCTAAGGTTTCGAATAGCAAATGTAACTTTGCGCTGCTCGCTGATGAACCCAGTAGCTATGTGGATGCAATGGCGAGTTCAGATTCAGAGAGATGGAAATTAGCCATGGATGAAGAGATTGATGCATTAAATAAAATAAAACATGGACTTTAGAACGTTTGGCAGATGGTCATAAACCTATCGGTTGTAAATGGGTTTATAAAATTAAACGGAGTCCGATGGTACAATTCAACGGTTCAAAGCCAGATTAGTTGCAAAAGGCTATTCTCAAATCAAAAATGTTGACTATTTCGATACGTTTAGCCCAGTAGTCAGGTATGATTCGTTACGCATTCTTTTATCACACGCTGCTTCTGAAAGGATGTTTCTTAAGCAATTCGATGTAAAGACAGCTTTTCTCAATGGCGAATTAGAGGAACTTGTTTATCTTGAACAACCAGAAGGCTACAAGAGAGATGATAATAGCTGCTATAGATTACATAAAAGTCTGTATGGTCTTAAACAATCTTCCTAGAAATTGGAATAAGAAATTTACCAATTTTTTGAATAGCCATAATTTCAAAAACATCAGACGCCGACCCGTGCATTTTCATGGAACACACAATGATTCAAATGTTATCTTAGCTCTCTATGTTGATGATGGAATTATTCTATCTAAAGATAAAGAGGCAATAGCTATTATAATGGATGAGTTAGAACACGCATTTGAAATTACATCTGGAAGTGTTAACTTTTTTGTTGGGCTACAAATAGAGCAGTCAGAAGATAGGGCAAGTATTTTCATTCACCAGTCATCATATATTGACAAAATTTTGAGTAAATTTAATATGGCTAACTGTATTCCTGCTTCGGTGCCTATGGATCCTTCTGTCATCTTAACAAAGCAGGACTGTCCTACTCCAGAACAAAAGGAAAAGATGCCTAAATTTCCCTTTTCGAGAAGCTGTTGGATCCCTTATGTTGCATCATGTGTTTCACGTCCAGATATCACTTATGCAGTTTCACAAGTGAGTAAATTCCTAGAATATCCAGGACCTGCACATTGTACAACAGTGAAGAATATTTTCCATTATCTGAAAGGCACTCCACACATGGGAATTCTCTTCACTGGACAAGACCAACTTGATGTTCGCTACCACTTCATTAGATCCAAACATGAAGAAGGTGAACTTAAAGTGCATCATGTTTGCAGCTCAGAACAGCTAGCTGATATAATGACTAAACCTCTTCCACGAAACAAATTCCACTACTTAAGAGGTCTACTGAACATTTTGGATCGAGAGGGAGTGTTGGAAAAGCGATCCAAAATTGGCGTGGAGCCAATGGCGTGGGGGATCCACCAATCAACGGCTGTGGCGGCGCTGCGGTCGACGTCAACACATATCATCCACTTGCCTTTAAAATGTTGTTACTTTAACATCTTGTTTTAAGTTACTTTGTTTAATAAATAATCCTTTTATTCCTTGATTCAATCTCAAACTTCAACAATTTGCAACATGAACTAGGATATTGACTAAATTAGAAAACTGCATAGTAATAAAGATCATTTTTTAAAGGCAAACCATTTCATTTTTTTTTTTTCAATAAAATCGAAACAAAAATTGCCTTAAAAAAAAAAGAAACATTCGCGGTGATTTTGTCTTGCATTCGTTTTATACAATTATTATATATTGGCATCATATATTAACTTTATGAACTGAAAAATATGTCCAGGGAAGTCTAGTTTGGTCATGGCATCTGCCCGGTAAGCGGAAGGTCGTGGGTTCGATTCCCATCCCTTGACGCTTTTTTTATTTTATCCATTCTGACCAAAATCTATCCGTGAACTTCACACAGTGAAAGTGTCTCGCGCAGTGGCGGCGCCATCGTAGCGACCAATAGGAGAGCGCCATTCCAAAAAAAAAAGGCAAACGGTGACAGAGATGAAGAACGCATGACGCTCGTAACTGTATATAGAATATGAGAAACAAAAATAATAATTATCATTATGGCGCCCTGCCATCTAAAAAGCACATGTGCTTTTGGTCAGGATATGTCTTCTTTATTTTTTAATATATATATTTATATGAAAAAACAATAGAAAAAAAAATAGATAAGTGGGTCAGGTGTTGATATTAAAAATAAAGAAGGCATCTCCTGACCACGAGCACATGTGCTTTTTTAGACGGCAGAGCGCCATCTAGTGGAGCAAAAATAACTAAACGTTTATTTAACCTGTTCCCTGATATTTTTTTGACAACCCAATTTCTTGATAAATCAAGAAAAGTCAACCACGAACGCGTTTCGGGCTGTTGGCTCTCGTCAGCGTGGTGCAGGCTGTATCTCTACGACCAAAATTTGGTCCCAGAGGTTTCCTGAGAAATCAAGAAATGGGTATTTAAGGCCAAATTTGCGTAAATACGCTTTTCATGTGAAAAAAAAAACAATAATAAATATAAAAAAGGTCAGGTGTTGATAATAAAAATATCATAATAAATAAGCGCTCTGCCATCTAGAAAAGTTCATGTGAGCCTGGATGTGCCTCTTTTATTTTTAATATCAACACCTTACCCTTTTTATATTTTTTATTGCTCTTTAACATATATATTTATATATAATTTTTAAAAAGTCACATCTCTCTTCAAAATAAACTTTAAAACTATGTACCTTCTGCATATGTAATTCCATTGTCCTGAATCTTATGTCAATTCTATAAATAATTATTTCTGTATAAAATCATTTGGGAGCAAAAATTCATCCAGATATAAAGTGTCTCTTGCAAAAGATCATTTAATTAACTATAATTATATATAACTATATAGTTAACCACACATATAGCTCTATAGAAGAGCTCCAACATCGATTTTTTTCGAATTCCTCAATGATCAACATGAGTGTATATGTTTTTTTTTTTTTATTAAAAAAAAAAAAGTCCTCCCGTTTGACAGGATACGTGGTGTGACCCAGGGTGGGAAGATTATCAGTCCAACTTGGCTCGGTCCATCCCATTCATGAAGGGAATGATCATCATGAAATGTCGAATTACCAGTGTGGCGACACGCTCTGTAGACCCGACACCCAGACTTGTTGTCCATCCAACCTCCAGGGACAGTCAGGCTGCTGTAAGTTCCCCAACGGCGTCTGCTGCCCTGGCAGAAGAACCTGTTGTAAGCAAGGCTACACCTGTGATCTCCATTCTGATCTTTGCATCAAGAACCTTTAACTTCTTGTGTGATGCTGTTTAAATAAAGTTTGATTGTGTTTTTTAGTGGATTTATCTTCTTTTTGGCGATTGTCCATCGCTTACTGACTGTTCTCTCATATTGTCATCTCGTTCAAACAACCCTCTTATAGAATTTCCTTCCTAAAATTTCCTTTTGAAATGATAGACAGCAGTTTACCCTGAACTACCATTGACTAAATGATAGACAGCAGTTTACCCTGAACTACCCATTGACTAAATGATAGACAGCAGTTTACCCTGAACTACCATTGACTAAATGATAGACAGCAGTTTACCCTGAACTACCATTGACTAAATGATAGACAGCAGTTTACCCTGAACTACATTGACTAAATGATAGACAGCAGTTTACCCTGAACTACCATTGACTAAAACATAACTAAACCTAGATCTGGTCACTCATTAGAGACTGTTTCGGTTCAAAGACTCCTTATGACCTATAGATAGAAAGTTTTTGCGCAGGGAGGAAATTGATCTATAAATGCAATAGTCGCCACTACCGTCAAATAAGGCGTCCAGATTTGACGTTTATTTTGACGGGAGAGGTGATATTTACTTTTGGACGAGCCAGGATGCGCCCGGGGAGCCACGAGACTCGGCTCGTACTCCACGCGAACCGCGCCTGCAGCCGGCCGATGGTGGTTTCAGTGGAAGGTAGCCGTGGAGGTGGTGCAGGATGGAACCCAGGACCAGGCTGTTGGCCGCGCGAGCACGACCCACCATCGACAGGCCGCGGGTGAAGGGTGACTACCTCGCGATGGCTCGCTCCAGCAGCCCTAACAGGTGGGAGGCCTGGGAGGCGACGGTGCTTCTGGTGGTGATGGTGCAGCCAGGACGGTCAGCGACTCGGACGTCCAGGAGAATCCGTCCGGTGCTTCCAGGAACCACCAAAGCCCGCAACTCTTGCTGAAGTTGACAGCCACCCCGGAGGCATGCGGAACTTTTCGAAGATCATAGGAACGAGCTCAAACTGAACGCCGTCCCTGATGAAGAGTACGAAGTCATCCGCATAGGCAACCACGGCTGCCACGGCCCAAGATCCTCTCGAGCGGCGTAGCAGAGGTCCAACTCCGATGCTGAAGAGCGCGGCGCTGAGACGGGCAGCCCTGCCTCACCCCGTTGAGAAGCGGAGAGAGAGACAGTTGTTAGAGATAGAATTAAAACTTGAATATTTACCCATAGCAGATGTTGCATTAGCACGACATCTGTTAAAAGACATTGTAACTATTTTAGACGCGTATGATTAATTTTTCCTTGTAGAAAGGGAAGTAGAAAATTAATTTATTTTAAAAAGAATTCTAGTTTTAATTTCTTACAATAGCATATATGAAGACATGTTCTGATCGCTCACATGAGGGTTTTTAGACTGCCATCTAGTGTAATAAAATTTAACTAAACGTTGATTTTTTACTTATTTCAAATATTTGGCCAGTCCATTTTCTTGATAAATCAAGAAAAGCCAACCACGTACGCGTTTCGGGCTGTTGGCTCTCATCAGCGTGGTGTAAGTAGTACCTATATGCATATGTTCCTTTTCTGATGCCTCTTTGTATAGTTGGCAAATACATGGGTCTTCAAGCTAATGGAATTCTAAGTTTTTACAGATCAGATGATAAATTCAAAGGTATTTATATTTTTAAATAAAATGTGTTTATTCTTTTTGGTGAGGTTTAAAATGCTGCATCTGTATAAGTAATATAGAAACAAGGAATTCATGTTGTTTCTCTTCCAAAAAAAAAAAACAGTTATTCATATTTAAATTTCTCTTCTGAAAAATTTACATCTCTGGTGTCATTTTTATAAATAAAAGAAAATAGTTTAAAGACAAACATATTGTTAATATTTGCTAATATTGTAATTGAAAAAAAAAGTGTCAGAAGTGGGATTCGAACCCACGCCCACATCAGTGGACCAGAACACCCAACTCCCGCTACGGGATAAGATTTACTCTTGAGTCTGGCGCCTTAGACCACTCGGCCATCCTGACATGCGTAGGTTACCCTCTTTTGCCTTTTTTATTCAACATTCAATTTTTAGTATAGGAAACTATATGTTTATACATGTCCCAATGTCTTTTTATCGCAGAAAACATGGTAGAAATTCGTTTTAATAAAAGAAAAAAAATCAATGCTAAAATTGTGTATCAGGTAAGTGTTTATTCATTTTTTTTATTATTATATTTCGTATCTTTAGTTATTTAGTTGCATTCTCTTTGACCTCAGTAAACATTACAGATTTTAAAATATACAGTAGAACTACCTCCCTGTAAAGGACAACACCTAGTTACAGAGCCAAAGTGTCCTTTTGGGAGAGATGTCCTCTTACCAGAGAGTTGCTAAATAGTATAAAGGTCATTTTGCAAATGAAAACTGTCCTTTGTAGAGAGGTGTCCTCTCATGTAGATTCTACTGTATATTCTTCATTATTATTATTATATATATATATATATGTCGTGATTTGTATAATATCAAGATGTATAATTTCTTTTCGCCAAAATAAGTATGTAAATATTTAATCTTATGTTAAAATGTAAATATGTAAATTCATCCATCTATAAAAACTGTACAAAAATAAATGTGGCAGACAATCGCGGGTGAATGCTACGGCACGTCGCGGGTGCGCTGCTCACTTGGCTGGAACTAATTCATGGAGATTGTAAGTATAACGGTTGCACCCTTCCATTCGATCACGATATATATATATTTGAAAAAGAGCAATGCATAAATAAATCTTTGTTGATGTTATAACACCTTGATAAAGGTTGGCGTTCAGCCAACTGAAATGTTGGTAAAATAAATGATATTTTGATCCAATATATGCCTTTTTAATTAAATAATTGTATATATATATTTATTTATTTTGTTGTTGTTATTTTTCTTCTCTTGAGAGAGATATGACCGAATTATTGTATTTTTCTGATATTTATTAACAAATGGAGACCTACAGAGAACTGCCTGTATATATGGTTAATATAATTTGAAATATTTGGCGGGAAATTATTCCGGGGGGAAGCAGGGTCAAAGGTCTATTATAAATACAGTAGAACCTCACTTTAGCAGACACCCCGCACCCCACGGACACCTCTCAACAAAGGACAGTTTTCATTTGCAAAATTACTATTTTTACTAAGTAGCAACTCTCCGTAAGAGACACCTCTCCCTAAAGGACACCTTGACTCTGCAATTAGGTGTTGTCCATTACAGGGAGGTAGTTCTACTGTAACAACTCTCTGGTAAGAGGACACCTCTCCCTAAAGGACACCTTGACTCTGCAATTAGGTGTTGTCCATTATAGGGAGGTAGTTCTACTGTAACAACTCTCTGGTAAGAGGACACCTCTAACTAAAGGACACCTTGACTCTGCAATTAGGTGTTGTCCATTACAGGGAGGTAGTTCTACTGTAACAACTCTCTGGTAAGAGGACACCTCTCCCTAAAGGACACTTAGGCTCTGCAATTAGGTGCTGTCCTTTACTGGGAGGTAGTTCTACAGTATAGGAAATCTATCGTTGTTCTTTGAAAATATAATTTCAAATAATAACCAGCAGTCATTGAGCAAATG